TGCATTGGGCAGGGGGCACCTGGAATAAAACTCACCCCCAGGGGTGGGCTCTCAGTCCAATGGTTAGCGAGATCTACATGCAGACCACTCAACCCAGGATGCTGCACCCACACACTCAGTAATACATCTCCTAACGAATTAAACCATGGGACCCCCCCCAAAAAAAAGACAACAAAGGTAAATATTATTGTATACAAAGTCCTGCAGTAACAGTAATAATAGTAATCTATGAGTGCACACATAGATAGACACACTGGTTGAACAGGGGTGGGAAGGCGAATGGAACTACACTGATGAATATATATAGGTCTGATGGGATATTTCTACACATGTATTTATATGTACTACAAATATATCCATGAATATAGTACAGCATACATGGGGCACGGTAATTAAAACATTTTAGCCATAACCACATAGCTTGAAGGAACGAGTCACTGGGGCTAAGGTTTAAGTCCATAGTCTTGGGGGACATCAAGGTCAATTGGCATAACATAGTCCACAAAGACAATGTGCTACATTCTACTTTATTAAGTAGTGCCTGGGGTCTTAAAAACTTTTGAGAGGTTATCTAAGGGGCAATAATTGATCTCTCCCCATTAAGAGCAAAGAAGAGTGAAAAAAATCAAGGATGAGTGGAAACAATCCAAAGGACTAATGGACCACATGAGCCCCAGCCTCCATGACCCTGAGACCAGAAGAAGTAGATGGTCCCCAGGTACCATTGACCACAGTAGGGATCACAATAGAAGATCCTGGACAGAGTAGCAAAAAAATGTGGAACCAGACTCAAAATCATAGAAAAGACCAGGCTTAATGGCCTGTAGAGACCATTGGAACCCCCAAGACTATGGCTCTTTAGATACCCTTTAAGTGTGGAACTGAACTTACTCCTGTGACTCACTTTCAGCCAAACAGTAACACTGGGTAGGTATGCACTCCTTAGAATAACCAATCATATGAGATCAAAAGGGTAGCATTTGCCTAGGGATAAAGCTCAGAAGGCAGGAAGGAATGGGAAAGAAGGATAAGTGGAAACAGTAAACCCAAGGCAAAAGTGGGAAGAGTGTTGTTACATTGTGGGGATTTCAATCAATGTCACAAATCAAAATGTGTTTGAATTGTTGAATGGAAAATCAATTTGTAGACTTTCACCCAAATCACAATAAAAAACTAAATAAATAAATAAAAACGAAACATACTTTGGATACTCAGGACCCAGGAATTCCCTGTTCAAACATCTTCCAACACCAGCCTCTGAACATCCACCCGTAATCTGTTTTCTTGATGGGATACTCCATATGAGCTTGTACACACGTGGCTTAGTTGTGTGGACTGAGATGATGACAAAATACATTCTAGCAAGATCCCTGCTACTACAGACGGTGACTGGAGTAGGAAGAGAAAACGGGTGGGCTAGGTTTAGAGGACTTTCATCTGTCGTCTTGTCTCAACTGCTAAGTTTTAGGGATGATCTTTGCATTTTTAGCTTTTCATGTAAATAAGGAGGGAATTCTTATCCTGTGATAGTCCATCCCTGATTTTAAGGCCCCAGGACCTTGCAGGAGTACATGCTCCCTTGTCAATCAAATCTATGTTGTGGTTGCTAGGTGCCGTCAAGTCGGCTCTGACTCATACAACAGAACAAAACATTGCCTGGTCCTGTGCCACCATCACAATCTTTGTTATACCTGAGCCTGTCATTGCAGCCACTGTGTTAATGCATCTGGTTCAGGGCCTTCCTTCCCTTTTTTCATTGATGCTCCACTTTACCAAGTATGATAGCCTTCTCCAGGGAATGCTGCATTCTGGCAACATGATCAAAGTAGGTGAGACAGTCTGGTCATTCTCGCTTCCAAAGAGCATTCTGGCTGCACTTCCTTCAGGATAGATTTGCTCATTCTTTCAGCATTCCATGGTACTTTCAGCATTCTTTGCCAACACCACAATTCAAAAGCATCAACTTTTCTTCAGTCTTCCTTATTCATTGTCCAGCTTTCACATCCATATAAGGCTACTGAAAATACCATGGCTTGGGTCAGGTGGACCTTAGTCTTCAAGGAGACATTTTTACTCTTCAGTACTTTGAAGAGGTTTGTTGCAGCAGGTTTGCACAGTGTGATACATAGTCTGATTTCTTGACTGCTGCCTCCATGGGTGTTGATTGTAGATCCAAGTAATATGACATATTTGACAATTTCAATCTTTTTTTCTATTTATCACGATGCTGCTTTTTCGTCCCGTTGTGAGGATTTTCATTTTGTTGTTGTTGTTGTTGAGATGTAATCCATACTGCAGACTGTAGTCTTTACTCTTCACCAGTAAGTGCTTCAAGTCATCTGCACTTTCAGCACAACAAGTAAGGTTGTGTCGTCTGCATATCGCAGGTTGTTAATGAATCTTCCTCCAATCATGATGTCACTTTCTTCCGCATATAGCCTAGCTTCTCAAATTATTTGTTCAGCATACAGATTAAATAAGTATGGTGAAAGTATACAACCCTGACAAACTCCCTTCCTGATTTTTAACTGTACAGTATCCCCTTGTTCTATTCAAAAGACAGCCTCCTGGTCCATGTACAGATTCCTTATGAGCACAATTAAGTATTCTGGAATTCCCATTCTTGTCAATGTTAACCATAATTTGTTATGATCCACATAATCAAATGCTCCTGCACAGTTAATAAAAGACAAATAAACATCTCTCTGGTATTCTTTGCTTTGAGCCAAGATCCATCTGACACCAGCAATGATATCTCTCGTTCCACATCCTCTTCTGAATCCAGCTTGCATTTTTGGAAGTTCTCTGTCAGTATACTTCTGCAACTGTTTTTGAATTATCTTCACTAAAATTTTACTTCCGTGTAATATTATTGATATTTTTCAATAATTTCCACATCCTGTGGGATCACCTTTCTTTGGAATGGATACAAATATGGATCTCTTCCAGTCAGTTGGCCAGGTAGCTGTCTTCCACATCCATTTTTTGGAAACATCTCAATGACTATTCCATCAATTCCTGGAGCTTTGTTTTTCACCAATTCCTTCAGTGCAGTTTTCACTTCTTCCTTCAATAACATTGGTTCTTGATCATATGCCACCTCCTAAAATGGATGAACATTGACAAATTCTTTTTGGTACAGTGACTCTGTATATTCATTCCCTCTTATTTTGATATTTCCTGCATCATTCAATGTATTGCCCATAGAATCTTTCAATATTGCTACTTGAGGCTTGACTGTTTTCGTCATTTCTCTCAGCTTGAGAAATGCTGAGAGTTTTCTTCCCTTCTGGTTTTCTAACTCCAGGTCTTTGCACATTTCATTATAATAATTGACTTTGTCTTCTTGAGCTGCTCTTTGAAATCTTCTGTTCAGCTCTTTTGTCTTGTCATTTCTTCTATTTGCTTTTGCTACTCTCCATTCAAGAGCAAGTTTCAGAGTCTCCTCTGACATCCATTTTGGTCTTTTCTTACTTTCTTGTCTTTTTAATGACCTCTTGCTTTCTTCATGGATGATGTTCTTGATGTCATCCAAAAATTCCTCTGGTTTTCGGTCACTCGTGTTCAATGCATCAAATATACTCTTTAAATGGTCTCTAAATTCAGGAGGGATATAATCAAGGTCATATTTTGGCTCTCATGGACTTCTTTTAATTCTCTTCAGCTTGAACTTGAACTTGCATATGAGCAGTTGATGGTCTGTTCCATAGTCAGCTCTTGGCTTTGTTTTGGCTGAAGATACTGAGTTTCTCCATTGCCTCTTTCAAATCCATTGCCCAGCAAATCCTGGATGGATCTATTTCATGAGGAACCGTTGCATCTAATCTGTTCTTCTGAGGGCAAGGAGAGAATATTTTCATCCCTTCTGTGTAACCTTCAACAAACTTTTACCAGATGACCACACAATATCTGTGAGTTTCGGAGTCCCATCGATTTAAAGTAACATACCATCTTAGCTTCCTGTTAAAACTTAAACAAGTCAGTTAACCTCTTTGATCTTAGTTTCTCTGTCTTTAAAATGGATATAGCACTGCATTTTAACTATCTTCCACTGTCCTGCATTTCCATCCAATTCTTTCTTATCTATCTTTTAACATTAACTCAATTTCACCACCTTAATTATATTAGCTATCTCTATCTGATCTGGCGATAAGAGCATTCCTTTTTTTTTTTTTTTTTTTAATTGCATTTAGAACAGTTTATTCCTTTATATTTTTGGGTTTATTTTGAGTAGTGTTTTACTAACTAACTAGCTTCACAGGGCAGGGATGTGTCTTCCGAGCTCCTGTTCTGTCCCTTCTACCTGGCACAGAGCCTGGCACCAGGTAAATACTCCATGTTTGTTAAATGAATAAATGAATGTGTGGCTATTATACTGTCACAATTAGAGATAAAATATACTAAGCGACCAGCACATAATAGGTGCTTAAATAGTGACACTGATTATTTCTCAGCAATTTACACTATAAACAGTTTATTTTGATAGGAAATGTTTTCTCTTTTCTTATATCTGATACATGGAGAAGAGTGAGGTGAATTTAAGACAAATACAATTTTAAACTATCCAAGTTAAGAAAAATGCAGTGATAATCTACTGGCTTGAGCAACTAGAATCATGACACACATTTTTTTTTTTTTTTTAATTTAAGAGATGAAAGACCTATAGTCAAAAACAAAGGGGGGAAGTTTAAAAAGTAGTAGAAAAATTTGTATTTGCCAATTTTGCTTGCCCCTCACAACTCCGATCCCAAATATTGCATCTATTTAAAAAGCATGTGGTGAAAGTCATTCCTTACCTACTATCCACTCTGTCTTTTCATCTTGGGCATTTTTAAATGCTCCCTTTGATATCAGTTTCCCCAAGTATTCTCTCATTAAATATTTCTGGGATCCGTACTTGAAGAAAGAAATGATTTTCTCAAATCTGTGAACAGGATACTTTTTGATGTCAAAATAAACCATCTGCTTGTACAACTGTTTCTAATTACTTCGCTGCCTAGACTCTCCTCTGGAGGGGTTTGGCACCAGCACCCCGCCCAGAGCCGTGCCGCTGCCCAAATCCTCGCAGGCAGCTCATCAAAGCATTTGCAGCTCTGAGCAGAGCTCTAGATCTGCGAGCCTGGGTGTCCGTAGGTCTGTCTGCCCGGCCATCTGCTAGTGGCACCCCTCCTTCCTACCACCTCCTTCCTCAGCCCCACCTTGTAGAAGCACGGCTTGCCCTCTACGGCCTGAGAGCTCAGAATGAGTCCCACAGGCTTCAGGAACTTCTTGCTGTTGGCATCCTCCCTTCTCTTTGCTGGATTGTCAGCTGGTCCTCAAAGCTTCTCGCCATCTCTGAGGTAAGTTTGGTTTGTTATTCTTTAGGAGAAATCTGCCCAACTTTCTGTGCATGGCAGGGCTCAAATTTGCAGGATGGTTTCTGTACGCCAAAAGCAGTTACTAAGTTGGATGTGGGGATGAAGCGTTTTCAACCTGTTCCTATCCCTTTCCTGCTATATACACTATGTGTTGCTTAACCCTTGTTCTTTTACTTTCTCTTCAGAAATATATAATGATTGAGTAAATATAAAATTTCCTCCTATGCAAATACATGTCACATGTTGCTTCTATGAGTTGAAGATAGTTCTGTGTGTATTTGTAAGTTCCTGTAGACTATAAGACAGTATTATTTCTCCTTTCCAACTGCATCAAAATCAGTCTGTGCTACATTTTGAAAGAAACTTTTAATTACTTTATAGTAGCAGATCATTTTCAAAGTCTAGTTTACAAGAAGCTCTTAATGAAAATTATAAAAAATATTATGCCCTAAGCTATCACGTAGGAGCTCTGGTAGCATAGTGCCTAAGGCACTTGACTGCTAACCGGAAGGCTGGCGGTTCAAACCCACCAGCCACTCCTCGGAAGGAAGATGGAGCAATCTACTTCCACAGTGATACTGGCTTGAAAACCCAAGGAGGGGTCACTATGAGTGGGGTCCAACTCAATGGCACATAACAACAACAACATGCTATCACAATGTACATTTACATATTATATAGATCTTCCAATATATTCATCTCTTCTTTTCATAATAAAACTGGCCCCTGGCCATGAGTAACAACAGGGTATTTTCTAAGAGAAATGAAAAGACAAGTCAGCAAGTATCATATTTTGGATTAATTTATACTTAATTAAAATTCACATATATGATTCAGTGAAAAATCACCAAGGAGCAGGTTGGATCACATATGCCCACCTAAAAGACAATCTTACTTCCAGGTGACAGGTACCTGCTTAAGGAGCTCTGATAGTGCAATGGTTAAGCACTGGCTGCTAACCCAAAAGTTGGAGAGTCAAACCCACCCAGCAACTCCACAGAACAAAGACCTGGCAATCTGCTTCTTTAAAGATTAAACCAAACCAAACCCATTGTCATAGAGTTGAATCTGACTCAGAGACCCTATAGGACAGAGTAAAACTACCCCCAGAGGGCTTCAAAGGTTGTAAATCTTTAAGGAAAAAGACTGCCACTTCTTTCTTGTGTAGAGCAGCTGGTGGATTCAAACCTTTTGGTTAGCAACTGAGCTGTCTAACCACTATGCCACTAAACTCCTTCCAGTAAAGAGTACAGCCTAGAAAACCCTGGGCGCCAGTTCTACTTTATCATATGGGCTCACTATGAGTTGAAATCAATTTGATGGCACCTACCAACAACAGGTTATTGATTAGACGTTTTTGATCATGAATCATTTCTCAAATGGTACAGGTGGGTCATGTCTACCGCCTGAGAAAACACAATCCTTTCTAGAGGGGGCTTGGCACCCAGAAATAAGGAAACTCAAACTTTTTATCCAGAGAGTTCTGAGCGTCCAGGTGGGGTGGAAATAGGGGAGTAACCATGGATTCAGAACAGAGGGGCAGTGTTTTTGCCGTAAACTTGGCCTGGATATGGTGTTTGTCGCCCTATGCAGGAGTTTGTCCGGTATCGCCTGCAGGCTGTCCCGGGCAGAGTCAGAGCGCCGCTGCAGGGCACCAGGGCAGCCCCCAGGGAGCGCTCTGTGCCATGGCCGTGGCCGGTGTGACTGCGGAGTCTGCATCTGTCACGTGACCGAGCCAGGCATGTACTTCGGGCCTCTCTGTGAGTGCCACGAGTGGGTGTGCGACACCTATGATGGGAAGACTTGTGCAGGTAAGGGAGAGACCCTGTCTGCTTTCTTGTAATAAACGCGGGCCGATCTAAACTAGCACTTGTGGGAATGATGGTTAAGCACTCAGTTTCTGAGATTCTGCCATGTTCCTGAGGAATGAAGAGTGGGGACACTTCTTATCAGCAAGCCAGCAGTTAGAAAGTTATAACATTCCACAAAGGTCTTACTTTTTGATAGCCAATTCTGGAATTATTATAATACCTTTCTTCTTCCTATGGTCCAAACTTAAAAGTTTAATATTTATAGGATTCATTCACTTAATTATTAATCTTATTTGCTTCTGTTTGAGTTCCCTATTACAAACTACATTTTCCAATTTCTTCACAAATGGAATTATTTTGCTGGCCTCTCACACTCTAGTCAAGAACGTTAATCATAATATTTGCATATTGTAGCCCATATTTTATTTTTACCTAGGAAACCCAGGGAAATATTATTTTCCCAAATTCAAGAGAGGTATGGTGTGCCTTTGAATTCTGATTTGCTTTTCTACATAGAACATATTTCACAAAAAGAAGTGTAAGTTAGAAAAATGTAACCAGGAAAAAATAAACAAATTTACTCAGAAGAAATTGCTTTTCTAATATTTTAGCTGCATGAAGTTTTGAGCTGCAACGAAACTTGATATTTTGTAAGGGTGGAGTGAAAATAAATTCATTTCCCTTACACATTTTTAAGGAATGATTTGGGGTCTGATTTTGGAAAGGGTCACAATATGTCTTCTTAAGGAACACTCCTAACCTTTTTACCAGTTTCATATAAACTTGTCATTTACTTAAGGCCATGAGCCTTAATTAGGACATTGTGAATGATGCAGAAACTCCTTTAGTAAAAGGATAACACAAATACATTCCAACCATGGTTTGGCAGATATATAGGAAAAAAATAGCTACTTATTTTACCCACAATGGATCTAAGAATAAAATCTCCAACACTAACACACAGAGATCAAGAATGAGTTTACTGTAAAATGTCATTTCTTGGCACCTGGAGCACAGGATCATATAGTGAGAACACTTAATATGCAAGCTGTTTGGCAGTGGAAAATTAGTCATATTAGTAATTTGGAGGAGCACAGGTGCTTCTACGTGGTTTGTTTACCCTGTGAAGGCTGCGGCTCAACCCTTTAAAAATACTGAGTGTCACAATTTGCTATTTTAACTTAATCTCAGAGGCTGCAGTATTATTAAAGTTAGTCCTTTGGAATGAAAGCTACTTATTGTCTAATATTTTATTCCAAATCCAACTGTTATCTGGCTTCTCTGGCTTTTATTGCCTCTGGCATTGCCTCTTCAATATCATGAGTTTTTAACACATTTTTTTCAGGGCTTCATTGTTATTTCACTGGAATAGTAAGAAGTGAGATGCAGCCTTCAACAAATAAAACTAGTTGAGAGTATCTCAGATAAAACTCTTCATCAAAGAACCCTAGTTGTTTCCTTTCTCTTAAACTATGCCAAGGAGAATGCTATGGCATATGTTGTAGTTGCATGTCATTAAGACAATTCTGACTCATAGCGATCCTGGAGGACAGAGTAGAAGTGCTCCATAAAGTTTCCAAGGCTGTAAATCTTTACAGGAACAGATCACCAGGTCTTTTATCCAGAGGAGGAGCTGGAATGTTTGAACCACTGACCTTTCAGTTAGCAGCCAAGAGCTTAAACATTGTACTTACAAGGCACCTGCTATGGTATATAATGCTTTTATTTATTTATTTATTTTTCTCTCCTGTAGAAGGGATTCATTGTTTATTCATAATGTCTTAGTCATTCCATTCCTTCCTCCTGGTCACACAGGGCAGCATAGATTTGTTTCATCCTGTGTGTATTTCTATAGAAGGTGAAACATTTCTGATTATTTCAAGGCTGAATGAAATAATTGTATTCATTTTCCATTTTTCATCTTGTGACTGTTGCCAGTCAGGACCTACTTTACAGCATTTTCTACCTAACTCAGCCCCTGCAAATGCTCTGCCTGTGTTTGGCAGGTCAGTGGGGAAATACATCACATATAGCATATTGGACCACCTTGTCAGCTTGCTGGTTTGTTCTCTGCTTCAAATTTAGGTTGTCAGTTTTCTTTTTGAGAAATAGTTCCAATTGTATAGCTAATAAGATATGTACATATCAGGTTTTCTATTTTTATGTGCATGAATGAAAACACCTGGGCTTTTACCTATTTGATATGTCCCTATAAGGCCCCCACCCAGAAACTGGGTACCTTCCAGACACCTCCTTGACCTCCATGAAGAAAACAAAATCTTGCTCTGTTTGTACATCATAGCATGGTTAACAGCATAGGATCTGTTGGAAATTTTCCAGGATTCAAATTCAAGCCCAGCATTTAATAGCTGTATAACACAGGGGCAATTAAAAAATAAAGGCATCCTGAGCCTTTATTTCCTTAACTGTATCATGGGAATAATAACAGCACCGACCTCACAGAATTGGTGTGAAATTTACCATATGTAAAACAGAAAAGAGTCTGGTACAAAGTAAGATCTCAATGTGCATTGATTTTTGTACATAACAATATTATTATAGTGATGCATAAAAGATTATGTGTAAATAAACCAAATACATAGATGGTTGGCTGAATAGATAGCTTTGTATTTGTTTTGCATTTGATGCAGTGAAAGCAGTTTCAATTTCATAATGTGGTCTGGGCCTGTTATTGATTCAGGGCCCAAAAGGTCAAGCAAGGATAGCTATTTTGGCCTAGCCTTAGAGCAGCTGTATTAGACACAGCATGCCCTTTTAAAGTTAAGTCCATTGAGATTCTTCTGCCGTGAATCATAAGAAGCATACTTATTTTAGTTTAAACTGGTTTGGAAGTGATTAAGTTCAAAATATCAAGTGCTCTATTTCTTCTGGTGTCTACTTTTTTATGGCATATGATTCTTCTTTAGACCTTCTATAGCAGGTCTGACCAATGATTGTTCCTGTGGGTGTGATGTGCTAATAAGGAATAAACTAATAATGATGAAAAATATTTTAAAAAATAGGAAAATCTTTGGTTATAAGAAAAACTTTCAGTTGATCTTTTAAAGTCAACCTTGGGTAACCCTTTGAAAGTTATGATTAAACTTAAATATGATAATAGTTTTTTAAAAGATCTTTTCTAATAACTTTGAAATGCATCAAAGAGTTTGACTTTTAGTAATTAGGAAAAGTTCACTCAATTCAGTTTAGCAAAAACTTATAAAATATTGTATATTTGCTAGACTCTCTGCTTTTGAAAGATATATATATATATATATATATATATATATATGAGAAATATATGGCAGCTTACAAATGAGTAGTTAGGTTAAGAGAAATACCAAATACTTATGTTGTGATGCAAACTGTCATTTCCAAAAATTTTGAGGCAAGTATTAAACATTGTGGTTACCAGTTCTTGAGAAACAAGTAATATTTGAAATCAGTCTTTAAATATAGGAAAGTTTTTTTTTTTTTTAATTCAAAAGTCGACTATTGTGATTCTGAGTGAAGAAAAGCTCAAGCAAAAGTTTTAGAGGCAGAATAGCATGACGGTATGTTTTTGGAGCAGTGAAAGCTAAAAGGGCTGGTTGGGCTGGAATTTAGGGCTGTGGGGACAATAGTAGAAAATGTACTGAGAGTTAAAATTAGTCCTGCTGTGAGTGCTTCAACCCAGATGAGAGGTTTGTTCTCAATTAAACAACATCTAGGAGTCATGAAGTATTTTGAACATGGGAATGGCGGGTACCGTTCTGATTCATTAATATGGTAGCCAAGGACGTGGCGAGTTGGCATAGTGAGACTTCATAAATAGGAATTCAGCTTAGATTTAAATATAATCTAGATGAGAGACAGGAAGGATACAGATATGATGGATTTTAAAGACTGTTTAAAAGTACAATCAATATTATTTAAAGGCCAAGGATGAGTAGGAGCTCTGTTGACATAGTGGTTCAAACATTCAGGTACTAAGGTCAGTGGTTTAAAACCACCAGTCACTCCATGGTGAAAGATGAGACAGTCGACTTCCATAAAGAATTATAGCCTTGGAAACCTGATGGGACAGTTCTACTCTGTTCTATAGGGTAGCTGTGAGTCAGAATGCACTCGATGGGCAGTGGGTTTGATTCAGTTTGGTTTAAGGATGAGTAAGATGATGTATTAAAATTGATGCTGGGTTTATATGCCTGAGTAATTAAGAATGTGATAGAACTGCTTAAGAAATAGGGAAGTCAGGAGGAAGAAGGCAATAGCTCCTAATCAATGACTCAAAGTTATTCTTAAAGCAAAAGAGCAACTATTTTTTTTTTTTTTAAATCCAGAATTGCTGTAAAATGAAGAATTGTTGCTAGGAGAATAAGAATCTGTATTTTAATGGCAGACAGATTTGGCTGAATTGGAATCTTATCTGTATTGCTGACTTGGGATGGGATGCTGAGCCAGTCATACTGTTTCTCTGAAACTCAGTGGTTTTTCCTGGAACAACATTATTATGATTGTAAACAATATCAGAGCATGATATTGTTCAGAATAATAAATAGGTTTATCTATAAAGATACTTAATATTTATATAATCATATATCTATTCAGAATATAAAAGAAATTCATATAAACATTTGGTTATGTATAAAAATTAAAATATGCTAATATGTAAATAGGCGCTCTGGTAGCATAGTGCCTGAGGCACTTGACTGCTAACCAGAAGGCTGGTGGTTCAAACCTACCAGCCACTCCTCGGAAGGAAGATGGGGCAATCTACTTCCATAGTGATACTGCCTTGGAAACCCAAGTCAGGTCCAACTCGACGGCATATAACAACATCAACAATATGTAAATATTAGTAATATTTTCTTAAAAATATCTCTGACTTTTATACTACATCAATAGTATGGGAATGAAATACCATTATTCCTGAGCATTGTGCTTTCTGGCTCTTTATAGTCTGTCTTAGGACTGTTTGACCTGATTTTTCCTCACAGTTGCATTTTTTCTGAGATAGT